ACTAAAATTTATTTCAACTTCAAAAAGAATATTCCTATTAATATTTTAAATATAAATTGTGAAATCCCAGGTACCGACCTCTATTACAGAAAACAAAATTAGTTTAAAAATACACAGTAACAAAGGATGGTAATGAAATAAATGAAACCAAAAAAGTCTATATTTAACTGGCTGCGCAGTCATTAGAAAGGTGCCCCATAACTACCATATGTTACTCAAATATGTTATCACACCTACAATCTCATCATATGTCTCCCAGGAAATTAATTAGCTCTAACTTTTTCAACTTTGACAAAAACGTCTGCATCAGTCAGATTACTAACTGCTGCAAACATTTCTAAATCCAAAGCTTTCTTCAGCTTGTTTAACCTTTTAATTACTATTAATCATTTAGCAACATTTAGAACAGCATTCATTAGACAGATGTCTAATTCTAGAATTTTAAATAATGTAAATTCATTTATACATATATTTACTTTGATGCATATTTAGTAACTTTAAAAAATAAAATTAATCCAAAACCACTTATTGATATATCATTTCACAGCTGTATTTAAGGTAAAGAGGAAAATATCTAAAATTTTTACTTTTTCTAAAAATCTAAAAAACCCTTAGTTGAGATTACATGGCTTATAGTAATATGTTTAATGAATACAAAACTCATCTAAGTTTTAAAAAGAAACAAAAGGACATGTTAATTTTAAAAGCTTTTATAAGCTACCAGCAGTAAAAAGAAGAGAATTTTCATAAATAACTCCCTTACCACCAAACTTACAAAAGGAAAAGAAGAAAAAAAAAAAAAAAAAAACCTACTACTGTTTGATTTCGAACCACAAGCCCAGGCAACCCTCAACCATGTAAACCAGCTCCACCTCTATCACTTTATTAAAACTACCTGGTAAGGTGACCAATGACTTCCCAAGTATTCATTTCACAAATATTTATTTAGCAAAGAACAAAAATCCACTCTTATAGAGCTTACATTCTGCTGGGATTGAAAGAGAAAATAAACATGATAAATAAGTTATATAATCTATCAGCAGTGTGAAGTGCTGTCTCCTGATTCCCTTGTTAACCAAACAAAAATTAAACAATAAAGCTTGAATTGGCTTCAGTAAAGTCACATAAAACATTACTAAATTCTCCTTTCAATTACCTCCGCTAACAAAATAATGGATAATCCAAAAATAAACTCTATTTAGTAAGCAATTAGATTTAAGTTCCAAAGTTACTCCTCGGGCTAAAGTAAACGTTCAAGTTAAACGGAATGAGGGCAGCCTCAGGAACAGCCAAAAATACCCTGCTGGCAGTTATCTGTCTTCTCTTTGCAGCTACCCAGGTTTTTGCCTACTGTCAAAATGGCACCTGTGAATTATACAATTTTTTTGGCTGAAAAGAACCTTATAGATATCAGACGTCCTCTACAAAGTTTTTCTTGGCCTGTCCAAGGAGACTTAAGCATTTCTTTCCCTTTATTTCCAAATTCCATAAAATGCAGGAATGATGTCTTTATTTGCCTCTGTATTCCCAAAAGTTACCTTAAATCTGGCACAGAGAAAGTTTGAACTTTTAAAAGCACTATTTTAGAAAGATCAGTCTGGTAGCAAACACAGCAAAGGCTTAAAGTTTGTAACTACTGTTAAATAATTTGTATTATGTATAGGTACATTCCTCTCAACTGGTGAGGAGGAGCATCTATTCATATTCAATATTTATTAAGGTCCTACTATAAGGCTACCATTACAGAGTACTCTAGGGGGAGAAAGAAAATGAATAATTTTAAACTGCAATATCTCCAATATCAGCCACTCAAGAGCTTGAATTCAAATGAGGAAAAGACACATCAATATATTATCTTGACGTGGAGAACACACAGATTTTATGGAATTACAGAGAAGAACATGTAGCCAACCACAGTAGCAAAGAAAAGATTCCTAGAAGAAGAAAATGCCTAGAATAGGCAATAATCATGAAAACATAAATAACATGTATTTTGAGGGAGTTAACAGTAGAAGATAATAACATGTGCACAGGGGATTGAAGGAGGTGGAAGACAGGAATGGTTCTAAGTCTGGTGATTTGTCAGTAGAGGAAAGCTGAAAGGAAACTTATTAACGAAAAAGATAGTCTCAGTTTTTAAAAATCTGAATTTATGATGACAATGGCATATCCATGTGGAAATTTTTTCCAATTACAACACTAAAGAGAAGTTCTTTGATTTTTTATTTTCATAACCACCTAGAATTCACTCATACACAAAGATCTGTAGCCATGACAGCAGAAGAGCTAAAAATTTGCAGAGGGCACAAAAGGCTCAAGAACAGAGTGAGAATGAGATATAGTTACATTATGTAGATAACAAAAGAGTCAGTTAAAGAGCACTCCAATGCAATGACGAACCAGGAAAGCTCATCAGGGAAGCCAAGGGAGATGAATGTTTCAATAAGGAGTGGGTAATCAATAAATTAAATGATAGACACACCCAGAAGGCAAAACAGAGTAAAGGTCATTGATTATGGTAAAAGGAGATAATTAGTGACTATAGAGAAGAGTTTTACCATGCCTAAGATTTCGTTAATTATAATCACAACGAAGAGTATAAAGACTAATACCACATTCTCATAACCTCCAATTTTATAAACATAACTAATATTAGAAGAAATGGATATATAAGCAAACAAAAAATTATACAGAGTAACTATTTCAACTAATAGATAACTTTTTAAATAATCTTTCTTCACAAGAAAGAAGTATTTTCAAGTTAAAAATACTCAATAGTGTGTGTGTGTGTGTGTGTGTGTGTGTGTGTGTATATATATATATATATACACACACATATATATTTCTTTTTTTTTTTTTTTTTGAGACGGAGTTTCACTCTTGTTACCCAGGCTTGAGTGCAATGGCGCGATCTCGGCTCACCGCAACCTCCGCCTCCTGGGTTCAGGCAATTCTCCTGCCTCAGCCTCCTGAGTAGCTGGGATTACAGGCACGCGCCACCATGCCCAGCTAATTTTTTGTATTTTTCGTAGAGATGGGGTTTCACCATGTTGACCAGGATGGTCTCAATCTCTTGACCTCGTGATCCACCCGCCTCGGCCTCCCAAAGTGCTGGGATTACAGGCTTGAGCCACCACGCCTGGCCTCAATAGTGTATATTTTTAAAAAGATTTCTTGTCATTTAGAGATAATACAACTTATATATGAAATGATATAATATCTGAGATTTGCTTCAAAACAATCCAGTGGGTAGAAGAGGAGGAGTAGGTGGATATATAGATAAAATAAGATTGGCCATGAGTTGAAAATTTTCGAAGCTGGTGATGATTACTTGGATGTTGATTATACTTGTCTCTCTACTTTGGTATATGCTTGAATATTTTTCTTAATGTCTTAGTGCCTACCAGGAAACAGAAATTTTTTAATTTTTCTCTAATTGTATTTACTATTTGCTTACAGGGTTCTGAAACTAATCTTAAATTGTCAAAAGTAATGAAAACAGTAAAATTTCTATAGGATCAAAGGTGAGAAACTTGCCTTATAAAATGCAGAGAGAGAAGGGAAAAAAAAATCAAGCACAAACAAATTCTAGAATTTTGTTCTGGTTTCAAGAATATTTAAAATTATAAAATGCCACACAATTTAAAAATATTTAGGGCCGGGCGCGGTGGCTCAAGCCTGTAATCCCAGCACTTTGGGAGGCCGAGGCGGGTGGATCACGAGGTCAAGAGATCGAGACCATCCTGGTCAACATGGTGAAACCCCGTCTCTACTAAAAATACAAAAAATTAGCTGGGCATGGTGGCGCGTGCCTGTAATCCCAGCTACTCAGGAGGCTGAGGCAGGAGAATTGCCTGAACCCAGGAGGCGGAGGTTGCGGTGAGCCGAGATCGCGCCATTGCACTCCAGCCTGGGTAACAAGAAAGAAACTCCGTCTCAAAAAAAAAAAAAAAAAAAATTTAGAATCAAAAAATAAAAAATAGATGCCCTGTTTTCCCCAGAAGCTGGCACACATATATATTTTCATAACAAATATTATATTGCTATGGTTCTTCATGGGATAATTACTTAAGACAAAAAAGTATTTGACAAAATCTTACATAGTGACAGAAGTAGGAGCTTATACCTGTTACAGCTAAAATTGGCTTTCAGCTGTTAATTTTAACTGATATATTCTTACATGTTTCCTTATTTCCATTGCTAAGAGTTTCACCCGAGTAACTCCAACTCACTTTCCAGGTCTCTGTTTAAATATTACTTATTTCATGAGTCTGCTGTCAACTTCACATAGTAGGGCAGAATGTCATCCTGTTTGCTCCTACAGAACTCTTTTCTATTCCTATCAAAAACAGTTCGTTTTAGTTAGGTGCCACGTCTTTTTAAAAATTGAGATATAATTCACATACCATAAAAATCACCATTTTAAAGCATACAAGCCATAGTTATTATATTCACAAGATAGTGCAATTATCACTACTAATTCCAGAACTTTTCATCATCCCGAAGTCATTTTCCATTCCCTCCCCTCCTAATCTCCTGGCAACCATGAAACCACTTTCTATCCCTATAGATTTGATTATTTTGGATGTTTCATATTAATGAATAATCATATAGTATGCAGCCTTTTGTGTGTAGTTTTTTTCACTTAGCTGAGCTTTTCAAGGTTACTTCATTGCTTTTCTGTCTGAATAATGCTCCATTTTATGGATAATCATAATTTGCTTATCTACTCTACAGCTGATTGGACATTTGTGGTTTGGGAGGCAATGAATGATATTACTACAAACATTCACATACAAGTTTTGTGCAAACAAATGACTTTGATTCCCTTGGAAATATACCCAGGCGTAGACTGCTGAGTCCTAGAACTCTATGTTTTAAGTTTTTGAGGAACTGCTGTTTTCCAAAGCAGCTGTACCATTCTACAATCACACCAACAGCATATGAGAATTCCAATTTATCCATATCCTCACCAACACTTTTTATCATTTGTCTTTTCAATTACAGCCATCCCAATGGGTATGAGTTGGTATCTCATATGATTTTGATTGCATTTCTCTAATGGCTAATGATGTTGAGCATCTTTGCATGTATTACTGGCCATCTGAATATCCTCTCTGGAGGAAATGTCTATTCAGGTCATTTGCCTATTCAGATTTGTTAACTTGGTTGTCTTTTTATTGTTAAGTTATAAGAACTTTTAATATATTCTGGATACTGGCCCCTTATCAGATTCATAATTTACAAATATTTTCTCCCATACTGTATTCTTTTCACTTTTTAAAAAATTGTTATTTCTTGGAGATCTTTTCACTTTCTTGACAGTGGCCTTGGACATAGAAGTTTTTTATTTTGATGAAGTATACTTTCTTTTTCATTGAGTGCTTATGCTTTTGGTGTCAAATCAATAAACTATTACCCAATCCAAAATTACAAAGATTCACCCCTATGTTTTCTTCTAAGAGTTTTAGTTTTTATAATTTAGGTGTTTAATACATGTTGTATTAATTTTTATATATGGTATGAGGTAAGGGGTCCAAATTCATTCTTTTGCATGTGGAAATCGGGTTGTTCCATCATCATTTCTTAAAGACTATTCTTCCTCATTGAATCACCTTGCCATTCTTGTTGAATATCAATTGGCCATATATGTATGGTTTAAATTCTGGCTTCTCAATTATATTCCATTGATCTTCATCTCTCCTCTGTCTCTTTTTGACTGCACCTAGCAGAGCCTAAAGGTGGGAAGCACTCGATAAAGATTTGTCAGTTGAACATCCAACTCCGTCAATAATGAAATGATAGAATTTCTGAGCTACGAAAAGTCTTAGAGGGCGTTATCCTACCCCATTATTTAACAAACAGCAAGACTGAAACCTAAGAGAGGTTAACTGACTAGCTCAAAGAAAGACAACAAATTAAACATAGAATGAAGGCAGGGCCTGAATTTCAGTCTCCTAATTCCAAAGCAGAGCTCTTGCCATAATATCATGCTGTTTTTCAAGTAATACTAATTGCTTTAACATCCACCAATGTGCCTGTCTGGGAGAAGTTGCAGGTCTATGAGAAGACAGAGATAGACATGTATGTTAGCTTAATCAAAGTAGAATCCTTCATAAGTATCCACAAAAAGCCTTACAACCAAAATGTGCCAGAAAATAACATACCACAGAATACAATGTTCCTTTCCAGACAGCTGTTTTCTAACTTCGTTTTTTGCTTGAGAGATTGCTAGTCACACTTTTAAGCCTGGAGATTATTCTAAATAGAAGAAAACATTTGTGACAGTACAAACAGTAAAGTATTCAGGTACCTACTTCCATTACCCTGTTCTCTTCTACATTTCCCACCACAATTATCATCCTTCATTCACTACTGTTTTAAAGACTGCAGAAATAGAGTCTGCCATGCTTCCAAAAGCCAGAGCAATTTAAGAGCTGGAGAGCAGAGAACTAAAGTGAAACACCTGAGAAGCTATGAGAGAAGCCTTCTAGAAAGATACATGGGGGGAGGAGAATCTACACGATTACATATGATTTCAGGGAAAAGGGAAGAGGCTAGATGTTCAAGCTAAATACTGCATTTATATGTACATATGAGGGAAATGCTATATGTGCAAATGTTGTATATGCAAAATGTATAAGCAGACCATGAACTGTCTTGTAGTCAAAATATTTAAGCTTCAGTTTAAACTAAACCTCCTCTCTGAATCCTTCCCAGAGTCCCTCAAACACAGTTAACTATTTCTTTCCTATTGTCCCCACTCTCCCTACTACACACCTCCATTACTATGATTATTAGAGTGTATGCTACTAGTTACATCTGTTTGCCTCCCTCCCAAATCATCTTCTCACTGAGGGCACAGACCATGTGTTTTCCATGTTCTTTTCTGTGCAGAACCTAACACAGCCCTGACACATGTAAGGACTTTGTAACTCTTTATTGAATGGATATATTAAAACTGCTTATAATACTGAATACATCTTATTCAAAAGTGTCAATAACAAGAAATTTGTTAATTCTTGCTGTGATAATTCCAAACATTATTGACACATAAATTGCCAATACTTATTTGCTCTAAGTACAAACTTCAGAGTTAGCTAATCTGCAAAAACCAAATAAAAAACTAACAATATATTTAGAACTGAATATTGTAGCTGTCAGTCATCTCCACTAAGGCATTTCTATATGCTCTTAGCTAAAAATACCACAAAAGGTTCAAGTAAGACTAATCAATGACAAGCAGAATGGTCTCATGTGGTGATTCAAAAAGAAACTGGAGAATCATCTCTTTGGAGGCATGTAAAGGAATTTTGGAGGGTAATTAAACATATTGTCATGTTCACCACATATGAGTAAAACAGAAGAATAAAATGACTATGAAATACTGGTTTGGTGATAAAAGCAGCTGCTTTGAAACCTGATATCCTAATTTTAACGATTTGCCTCCACTGTGGCCTCTTTAGGAAGGTCATTTCGTCTTTCTGTGCCTCTTTTAGTTTATCTCTTATAAAACTTGAATAAGCTGTAGTCCAAGCTACTGGGGAGGGAGAGGCGGGACGATAGCTTGAGCCCAGGAGTACCAAGCTGCAGTGAGCCATGACTACACCTGTGAATACCCACTGCACCCCAGGCTGGGCAAGATAGCGAGATCCCATCCCCCTTTAAAAAAAAAGTTTTTAAAAATGAGAATGTCATACTCACAAGCTGTGAGAATAAAATCATACTGTGTATCACCTAACACAGACACTCAGACACTAGCATATAAGCCTACAACAATGTTAATTCCCTTCCCAACTGGCAACAGGTTGTAAATTAAGGGGTCGACTCAAAAAGCTCTCTTCTCTGTAAATATCTCCCCTAACAGATGTCAATGTCTGAAATTTTACCATGAGAAAATTGTTAGGATTTTCAAGAGCTCCAATTAAATGTGAAAAAATCCATCAATACTTTAGTGTGTTTACTCATCATTTTAAAGATAACTTAACAAAGCCTACAGGTCCTGGAGATCTCTTTTGATAGTGAACAGAGAAACGTCTATGGATGGTTACTGCTACATGATGAGCTTGAAAGAGCAAGAAAAAAAAGGCCATAAAAGGGTCCTAGAGACAAACTTTTCCTACTTTGCAGTAATTCTTAAAATTAGTCCCATCTAAAATTCATAAATTCATTAGTAAACCAGTATATATTTATTTTTTACATTGTGAAATATAAACACCTGCCACAGGTAAACACTACAAACTTTTTCTTTTTCATACAGTTCCACATTTGCAGGTTCCACTCCTTTCATGACTAGAATTTTTCCTGTGTTTATACCATTGCTACAATACTACTTTGTGCATAAAATCACAGCTTTGAGCTAATGTCTATGAAGTTGATCTTCGGCACAGACCATTTTTCTTGTGAAAAGGTTTGTCACCTGATGGTTATTTTATGTTCATGTTAATTAGACTGTCTCTATCATTGTATTTTCTTTCTCTCAAGTTTGATTTCTATGGTTCCAGAAGTATATCTGCCTACTAATTTCAAGTAAAATAGTATTTATTAAGAGTTGAAGTGTTATTAAAAAAAAAAAAGCCCCAAACCACAATTTAATGGTATCTTTTTACCCACTACAGCCAAAGAAAAGATCTACTTAGGATATACTATTTGCTCTATGCTTTCCCAAACTGTCAACTGCATGTATTTTAATAACATCCTAGTACAGATGGCATGATAGCTCTTCCATATAAACTATTAATAAAATTAACATAAAGAAAAAACTCAAAACCATTACACTGTATTTTCACCAAGACAACATAATGTCCAAATTTCACATTTTATTCCAATTATTATTTTGAGACAGGGTCTCGCTGTCACGCAGGCTGAAGTGTAGTGGTGCAAATACGGCTCACTACAGCCTCGACCTCCCAAGCTCAAAGGGCCCTCCCATCTCAGCCACCTGAGGCTGGTACTACAGGTGGGTGCCACCATGTCTGGCTATTTTTTTTTATTTTTTGTAAAGACAAGGTTTCACCCTGTTGCCCAGTCTGGTTAAACACTTCTGGGCTCAAGTGATCCTCCTGCCTCAGATTTCCAGAGTGCTGGCATTACAGGCGTGAGCCACCGCACCTGTCTTTATTCCTATTATCAAGGAATAACCATTACCACTTTCTTTCCCCAAGTTGTAGCCCAAATTCTAAGTCACTCACCCACCCGCCATTTTATGAATCTTGTGCCTCCTCTCTACCTGTGGGATCCACTGAAGGGGACTCTATAAAGTAAATGTGGAGAGAATTACTGTCAAAAATGAAAGAACAGGAATTCTTAACAGTTCCAGAAAGGCTAATAAAATCAGTCCTGGACTCATTAGAGAAGAAAAACTCTAAATCCAAAGACTAGAGAATAGAAAGTGATTATACTCTAATTTTAAAATACCAAAACATAGTTAAGATCCAAAATGTTTAATATAGAACTTCACAAAATCCTGCAAAATAAACTTAGTATTACTTATAGATAAAGATCAAAATGATACTTCTACTTTCCCAGGCTCACCAAAAAATCCAATCTATCAATTAAAGTGGAGAAAAGAAAATAGAGTTGAATTAAAATGAATTAAAGGATTGCATTTTAAAGTCCACATAGAATAAAGAATACTAAAGCATTTATTTTCTTCTATTCACAGCATACTTAGGATTCATCCATAAACCCAAGGTGGTAACCATCTTCTTCTCTACTGATATAGTGAAGAAAGTATCTCTCCACAGCATGCCTGCAATTCTCCCTTTCTTCCTAAACTAACCTTCTTAATGAATGTCATCACATACTCTCTCCATCAATGAAGAGCAAAATCACCAAATTGGTTCTAATTTTCTTCCACCATCCCATATGCCAAATTTTAGGCCAAGTCAAAATGATGATGATAGGTTAAATAACATTTTTTATGTTAGAGGCACATTGCTGAATGATTTCCATAAATTAATTAATCCTGCTCATCTCCACTGAAGACTGTAACAAAATCGATATGTTGAAGCTCTCCCCCCTCCTCCCCGTGTGATGATATTTGAAATGAGGCCTTTGGGAAGAGATTAGAGTTAAATGAAGTCATGAGGGTGGAGCCCTCATCCTCATAAGATTAGCGCCCTTATCAGAAGAGCCCCAAGAGAGCTTGCTCACTCTTTCTCCATCATGTGAGGCAGAGCAAGAAGCCAGAAAGAGAGCCCTTACCAGATCCCCGTCATGCTGGCACCTTAATCTCAAATATCCAGCCTCCAGAACTGTGAGAAAAAACCTAGACTATAAAACTTTGTTGTGGCAACTTGAACAGACTAATTTAGATAGAAACTCTTATGTCCCCATTTTACAGAAGAGAAAATTATAGCTTACACAGACTAAATAACCTCCCTACTGTGGATCCAGGAGACAGTGATAGGGCTAGAACTTAAACCCAACTTTTAACCAATATCGTTCTGGTGATGTCACTGATAAGACTGAGTGCCCAAATGTATCATGAGTTGTGCTAAGTGCAATAGAAAAAACTAAGGTGTCCTTAAGGAATTCATATATCTAATCATAATCAAGTACTACAGACAAACACATGAACTGACAAAGAATGACTTCCTTGAGGTCTGGCACCTGAGAAATGTTTGGTGAAATAAACAGAAAAATCATCAGGCAGTAATACAATGTAGTAAGTGTTACATGAGTGGGTTAAATAAAACAAAGGTTTCCAGGAGGATGCGATTGTAAGCACAGTAAGGCAAGCACTAACAGCAGCCCTCAACCTTTTTGGTTCCAGGAACCACTTTCATGAAGGACAATTTTTCCACAGGGTTGGGAGGGGGCAGGACAGGGGATGGGGAGTGAGGATGGTTTGGGGATGATGTAAGCTCATTACATTTATCATTAAATTCTCATGAAGAGCATACAACCTAGATCCATCACATGCACAGTTCACAACAGAGTTTGTGTCCCTACGAGAATCTAACATCCCAGTTGATCCGACAGGAGTGGAGCTCAGGGGTGGTCTTAACAGGCCAAGAACTGCTATCGGTCCACGGCTCGGAGATTGGGGACACCTGCACTATACAAACAGGTAGGGTATGAGAAAAACTAACAGAAATAAATACAATGCAGTCAGAACAGGATACAGTTAATAACATTTGTAAGAAATTTATCAGGGATAACCAGTGGAAGTAACATATAAGTTGTCTTTCTCGTGAAAACTTGAGATGAAATGAATCTCACTGTTAGAATCAGACATAAGTCTAGGTTGAAGGAACCATCTGGTCAAAAACATAGAATTTGGAAATGTGGGTGGTTGTTCCTTTTTTGATCTCATATTCAACAATGTAGTTTATAATATAAAATGTATTAACAGGTGCCCACATCTCTCATCTTTTTTGGAAGACTCTACACAAAGCATAAAATCACCCTAAAAGTACAGATATCGATTCCTTGTTCAAAAGCATTCAATAGTGCTACTCCGCCCACAAGGTAATAATATTCAAATTCAAATTCCTTAGATTAGAATGTTAGACCTCTCACAATCTGTCCCTGCTTTTCCATTTCTCCCTAATTCGCCTTGAGGCATGAATCCTTTATACTGAAGCTACCCCCACATTATTGGGAGCTCCTAAATAGGCCCTGTTAGAATATTTACATCTGGACTCTGGGACCTCTAAGATTTATTTCAAAGACTGGCTTCCTCTGAAGTATGACCTTGCTTATTACCTCACTTATTACACTCCGTCTTATGTAGTTACATTCCTGCCTGTCTCCATTAAAAACTATCAGCTATTTGAGGGATAGCACCTACCCTACAGACAAAGATAGCACAGAAAATACATTAATGCTTTTCCACTGGGAATACAGTGAAAAAAAATACACTAGGGCTGGTGCGGTGACTCACGCCTATAATCCTAGCACTTTGGAGGGCCAAGGAGGGGGGATCACCTGAGGTCAGGAGTTCGAGACCAGCCTGACCAACATGGAGAAACCCCATCTCTACTAAAAATACAAAAAAAAAAATTAGCCAGACATGGTGGCACATGCCTGTAATCCCAGCTACTCAGGAGGCTAAGGCAGGAGAATTGCTTGAACCCAGGAGGCAGAGGATGCAGTGAGCCGAGATAGCACTATTGCACTCCAACCTGGACAACAAAAGCAAAAAACCATCCCCAAAAAAAAAAAAAAAAAAAACACTAAAGCAAATCTTTGGGTATCTAAGTACTACAAAGAAGTTAATCATTACAATGCAATATAAGAGCAATAATAGACAAATATACAGAGTTTTATGACTGAATCACTCAACTAAGCCTTGCAAAGGTTGAGGCCAGCTTCTCAGAGAAGATGACACAAACTAGTTCTTAAAAGATATTACAAAGATAGAGGTAAAGAATACACAAATATAAAATGATATCACATGTGGAGAAATACTAATTCAACGTCACTAGAATGTAAAGGATGAAGCTGGAAGTGGCAGAGTATCGTCCTACAGAGACAGACAAAAAGGCTTTCTATACTGTGTTAAGAACATTGTGCTGGCCGGACACAGTGGCTCACGCCTGTAATCACAGCACTTTGGGAGGACAAGGTGGGTGGATTACTTGAGGTCAGGAGTTCAAGACCAGCCTGGCAACATGGTAAAAATCCATCTCTTTTAAAAAAAAAAAAAAAAAAAGAAAAGAAAAGAAAATAACATTGTGCTATAGGCCAGTGGTTTAAAGGTACAAAGTATAAACTGTGTGCATGTCAAAATGAGGTTTCAGTTATATTGAAAATTTTTAAAAATTGTATTAAATAGATAGTACATGTAGGCCAGGCATGGTGGCTCACATCAGTAATCCCAGCACTTTAGGAAGCCCAGGCAGGTGGATCACAAGGTCAAGGGGATGGAAACCATCCTGGCCAACATGGTGAAACTGCGTCTCTACTAAAAATGCAAAAATTAGCTGGGCATGGTAGTACACACCTGTAGTCCCAGCTACTCGGGAGGCTGAGGCAGGAGAATCGCTGAACCTGGGAGGTGGACGTTGCAGTAAGCAAGATCATGCTACTGCACTCCAGCCTGGTGGCAGAGCGAGTCTCTGTCTCAAAAAAAAAAAAAGTACATCTATATGTCAAAAATCAAACATTAAAAAGATATACAGTAAAAAGTCTCATTACATCCATGCAGCTGCCCTGTTTAACCCTGCTTTCTGGAATAAAATATTAGTTGTTTTTCCTTCCAGATTTTCTTTATGACAATATAAGCAACTATACAACTATATCTTATTTCCTCTACTTTACACAAAAGTGCTATTATCTTTTTAAATTGAGGTGGTTTTTCCATTATATTCCATATAAATTCTATTCTTCCTATTTTTTTTTCTCATCACTGAATGGCGCTCATCCTACTATTCTTTATCAACCATATAATATTCCGTTGTATTGCTGTACTATGATTTACTTAACAAATTTCCTATTAATGGATATTTGGGCTTTTCCCTACTCTGTTGCTATACATTGTCTTGATATATAAAGAAAATCCAGCCTCATGCAGCCATCAACAGAAAAAGGGAGAAAAATGTTAAACTTTTTGGATTATTATTGATAATTTTCAAATCTTTTGCTGTTACACGCAATAGTTGTAGGAATCACATTTTATATATCACATAACAGCTATTCCTAAGTTTACCTATATGATTCACTCCCAGAAATGAAAAGATACATTTTTAAGTTTGATATATATTGTCAAACCATCCCTAAAGTCTGTAGGTACTCCAACAATGTAGATTCTTCTCCAACGATATGTGAGCAGTGACAATGCCTGGTTTTCCAGAGCAAAAACAGAATCCTGGAGAACTCTACCCTTTAAAAACCTCTCATTCAGGAAGAAAAATTCAAAAGAAGAATCAGAATAACATTCAAAGAGATCAAGAAAATAATAGGAGATAATGAG